TGATGGAGTGGAGGAGGATGAAGTGGAGGGTGATGGAGTGGAGGGTGGGGTGTTGGATGATGGAGTGGAGGGTGGGGTGTTGGATGATGGAGTGGAGGGTGGTGGAGAATGTGGACTGGTGGCTGATGGAGTGGAGTATGTAAAGTGGAGAGGGATAGAGTGTAGGATGTGGAGTGGAGGGTGATGGAGTAAGGGTATAGAGACAGGTTGGGAGGTAGTGGCAACACCAACAGTGACCTCGGGCACGCGATGCCCCGCCCAGCTCCTGCTTATTCCTACCCGGATTGGCTGCTTTAGTCACGTGACCATCGCTCAGGGATCTCTAGCCCATATAAAGGAGGAGGATAGAGGTGTGGGTCAGAGTTTAGATCAGTAGCGTGGACAACCATGTCAGTGTCTGAATGGCTCTATCCCCCATCGGTCCACCAGGCCAACTATCCTCACTATACAGAGCCTTATGCTGGCTCAGCTCTTCTGAGCCCCGCGGGGCTATTTAGTGCAACGTCTCATTTTGACACCCCCAGTGCCACACCCAGCCCACAGTGCCAGCCTGCAGCTACAGCCTCGTCACCAGCCTGGTCGTCAATTACAACCACCTCGTATTCTGAGGGCCGTCCGAGTCCCTCAAGTTCGCCTATGAGCAGCTGTGAGAGTCTTGAAGTCGGGTCACCTCGTTCCTGGACAGTGTCAGCAAGTGGCCCTTCCTCTTGGTCCTGGGGTGCCCCTGGTACGACACACCCGCTCTTGGCCGCCGCTGCAGCCGTCGTCACTACCTCGTCAGGAACATTAGTTGCTTCTTCAAATCATGGCCGCCTGAGCAAGTGCAGAAGAAAACCCCCGAAGACAGTGGGACGAGAAGTGCTCAGAAAACGGCGACTTGCTGCAAATGCTCGCGAGCGGCGCCGCATGAATGGATTAAATGACGCATTCGACCGCTTACGCGAAGTGATCCCAGCTCTTAGCGGTGACCAGAAACTGTCCAAGTTCGAGACCCTTCAGATGGCCCAGACATATATTGCCGCCCTGGCAGAACTCCTGCACTGAACATTACGCCCCGGCGAAGTGACCGCATCCTCAGTATCTAGTCAGGTGAGTCAAGGATTGTGTTATGTGGTGATTTCAACTGTGCAGTAGATACGAATCAATATTTAAGAGCCATCCGCCAAACATAAAATATATAAATTGACAAACATTTTTTGCTAAGCTTCAGGTGAAAATCATTGTGGTAAATATGAAAACTAATCAAAGTCCCTTTCATCGTTGCAGAGATCCACTCACCTGAAAAAGAATCTCCGTAACAGTAAACGAAATTCTGCCTTGTCTATGGGCCTATGGACCCGTTATTTTGTCTGCCTAGTCGACTCTTCCTTCCCCTACCATGCCATACGCTACGCAGCCCTTGCCAGAAATACCATCAGTATCTGTTACCAAACCGTCCAGCTTCTATAGATATATTTGACAGTGATGCGCTAGTGGCTACTTGGTGAACGCGCTTCGCCACCAGCATGAGTATGAGAGTGACTACTGTAGTAACGCAAGAGTCAACAGCGACGCCAGTAGTATTAGCACCATGTGGTAGTGGTATTTTCCTTAATATTAGGCAACATGCGCCTTTCACTGAAAGAAAGGTGACAACTATGTCTTGCAGTGGTAGCAGACGACAACCATGCCCAATGCAGTGGTGGCAGATAGCCATCCAACAGTGATAGCAGCTGAGGGCTACTTCTGGCAGTGGTAGCAAGTGAAAAGTATATCCATTGCCATGGTAGGTGACGACTATGTGCATCGTAGTGGCAGCAGGCAACAACCTTGTCCAGCAGTGATAGCAGGCAACAACCTCGTGTGGCAGTGGTAGCAGGCAACAACCTCGTCTGGCAGTGGTAACAGGCAACAACTTTGTCTGGCAGTGGTAGCAGGCAACAACCTCGTCTGGCAGTGGTAGCAGGCAACAGCCTTGTCTGGCAGTGGTAGCAGGCAACAGCCTTGTCTGGCAGTGATAGCAACCAAGAACCTCGTCTGGCAGTGATAGGCGACATCCATGTTCGTTCCAGTGGTTGTCCGCGACAACCGTGTACGTTTCAGTGGCAGCAGGCAGCAACCTCGTCTGGCAGTGGTAGGAGGCAACAACCTTGTCTGGCAGTGATAACAGGCAACAACTTTGTCTGGCAGTGTTAGCAGGCAACAACTTCGTCTGGCAGTGGTAGCAGGCAAGAACCTCGTCTGGCAGTGGTAATAGGTGACATCCATGTTCGTTCCAGTGGTTGTACACGACAACCGTGAACAATGCAGTGGTAGCAGGCGATAACCGTGTACACTACAGTGGTAGCAGGCAACAACCGTGTACAGTGCAGTGGTAGCAGGCGACAACCGTGTACACTGCAGTGGTAGCAGGCGACAACCGTGTACACTACAGTGGTAGCAGGCGACAACCGTGTACACTACAGTGGTAGCATGTGACAACCGTGTACAGTACAGTGGTAGCAGGCGACAACAGTGTACAGTACAGTGGTAGCAGGCGACAACCGTGTACACTACAGTGGTAGCAGGCGACAACCGTGTACACTACAGAGGTAACAGGCGACAACCGTGTACACTACAGTGGTAGCAGGCGACAACCGTGTACACTACAGTGGTAGCAGGCGACAACCGTGTACACTACAGAGGTAGCAGGCGACAACCGTGTACACTACAGTGGTAGCAGGCGACAACCGTGTACACTACAGTGGTAGCATGTGACAACCGTGTACAGTACAGTGGTAGCAGGCGACAACAGTGTACAGTACAGTGGTAGCAGGCGACACCGGTACATACAGTGATAGCAGCGACACGTGTACAGTGCAGTGTAGCAGGCGACAACCGTGTACACTTCAGTGATAGCAGGCGACAACCGTGTACACTGCAGTGGTAGCAGGCGACAACCGTGTACACTTCAGTGGTAGCAGGCGACAACCGTGTACACTACAGTGGTAGCAGGCGACAACCGTGTACACTACAGAGGTAACAGGCGACAACCGTGTACACTACAGTGGTAGCAGGCGACAACCGTGTACACTACAGTGGTAGCAGGCGACAACCGTGTACACTACAGTGGTAGCAGGCGACAACCGTGTACACTACAGTGGTAGCAGGCGACAACCGTGTACACTACAGTGGTAGCAGGCGACAACCGTGTACACTACAGTGGTAGCAGGCGACAACCGTGTACACTACAGTGGTAGCAGGTGACAACCGTGTACACTACAGTGGTAGCAGGCGACAACTGTGCACAGTACAGTGGTAGCAGGCGACAACCGTGTACACTACAGTGGTAGCAGGCGACAACCGTGTACACTACAGTGGTAGCAGGCGACAACCGTGTACACTACAGTGGTAGCAGGCGACAACCGTGTACACTACAGTGGTAGCAGGCGACAACCGTGTACACTACAGTGGTAGCAGGTGACAACCGTGTACACTACAGTGGTAGCAGGCGACAACTGTGCACAGTACAGTGGTAGCAGGCGACAACCGTGTACACTACAGAGGTAGCAGGCGACAACCGTGTACACTACAGTGGTAGCAGGTGACAACCGTGTACACTACAGAGGTAGCAGGCGACAACTGTGCACAGTACAGTGGTAGCAGGCGACAACCGTGTACACTACAGGGTAGCAGGCGACAACCGTGTACATACAGTGGTACAGGCGAACGTGTACCTACAGAGTACAGCACAACCGTGTACACTACAGTGGTAGCAGGCGACAACCGTGTATACAAGTCAGCGACACGTTACCACAGTGGTAGCAGGCGACAACCGTGTACACTACAGAGGTAGCAGGCGACAACCGTGTACACTACAGTGGAAGCAGGCAAAAATCATGTCGTACTACTAACAGGTGATACCGCCTGATAACGCCCTCTCTGTCTGTCTGTCTGTCTGTCTGCCCCTCTCTCTCTCTCTCTCTCTCTCTCTCTCTCTCTCTCTCTCTCTCTCTCTCTCTCTCTCTCTCTCTCTCTCTCTCTCTCTCTCTCTCTCTCTCTCTCTCTCTCTCTCTCTCTCTCTCTCTCTCTCTCTCCTTTCTCTTCGTTTTATTGATTACGTTTTGGTGTGAACTATCAAGTATTATTTATTAAGCATTCAAGTCTACGTCAACCAAAGATAATATTAAGCACTTTTTTTCCAGCATGTGTATACATAAAATAAAACGAAAAGACAATGCTTGTTGAATAAAATTATTAAAAAAGCTTCACTGACTTTTGTATTCGATCCCTTGTGGCAACAACAGATTTGAAATGGGTTAAAGAAATAAATCAGATTCATAAAAAAAAAGCCGAAAAAAGAGGCGAGAATGCTTATATTTATTAAAAGTTAATAAGAGAAATATTCCTGTAACATACTTGTACATGTTGATGAATAAGGTGTAAGATCATTAGTGATGAATTGCGTAATTTAATTCACCTGGGATGCGTAAATGATTCACTGTCTGAAGAGAAGTTCCTACAAGGAAGGTACCTCAAGGCCGGTGAAGGGCTGTTGATTCAAAGATTTGGAGGTACTCTTCATTTCCTTGGATTGCATCTGATTGCTTCCCATTAGTCAGAGTGCTATGTGATCCCTAAGGGTTTAGCGCTCCTCTACGAAATAACTAAATCGACACATGTAAAAAGAGATGAAATAAGTTCATTGGGATGTACAATGGCAGGCAATAATAAATAATAATAATAATAATAATAATAATAATAATAATAATAATAATAATAATAATAATAATAATTATAATGTTAATAATAATAATAATAATAATAATAATAATAATAATAATAATAATAATAATAATAATAATAATAATAATAATAATAATAATAATAATAATAATTTAATTTACAACAAATTTAATAGTCAGAATACTATAATTCCTCATACTCTCTAATAATATTAATATTTGTAAAGAATACTTTAAAACAAATGCAGAAATTCCCTAACCATTAATGTTCAGACAGTGAAAACTAGAGCAGATCTGAACTATAATCAAGAGAATAACTCAAACACGTACTGAAGGATTTCAAAACCGCAGGTGTTAGTAGAGACACTGGTGTCACAGGGTAGATACAGACCTCACTTAAATGACTCCAGACCACAGGTATTAAGGAAGACACAGGTGAATCTGGAAGACCTGCAGACTACATCTATTAGAGAAAACACAGAAGGTGACAAGAAAGGCGCTTGTGGTGGTCTGGTTCATGGAATTGATGAAATAAAAAAATATAATGAATGCGTTTGACCTTTTTTTTTTTTAGATTTAGCACCAAAGACCAGCCATCCGTGAGGCGACACTGCAATGAGAATCTTTAATAGATCCGCCATCAGTGGGAAGAGACTGTGAGTGAATATTCTCCAGAGATCAGATATTCGTCAAAAGACACTGTTTTGTAAGTATTTAACAGACCCGCCATCTATAACCTTCAGTGGAGCATATATGATGTATAAATGGCACTTCCTTATAGAAAAACCTATTAACGGTAGACATCAAGAGATGTAAGGTCGCAATGGGTTATAGTATGCTAACAAACCATACCACGGGAAGGGATAGAACCCGCGATCAATCATAAAACTCCTACCGCCACTACTAATCTAAAACCTCTACTGCTAGTATACTATTATCACTAATATTAATATTAGCTTTTCAATTTAAGGGCTAATCACACTTATCAATGCAGCATGAGGGGCAATTAAGGGAGCATTTTTACCTACACACTAACTTAACTAAGCTAGGGATTGTAGTAAAATCTGCGTATATACCAAGAGAGATATGCATCTCAGTTTGTATACCCATTGCATACAATAATAATAATAATAATTATGATTATCATTATTATTATTTCTTTATTGTATGCCAAATAATTTTATATTAACAGAGAATTATTATTTTTCGAGCGATTCTAAGACTTATAGAGTAATACAGGTTAATTTTGCTTCCCCCACGAAGGGCGTATGAACGAGAATGAGCGTATACGCTAATACTGTATATCTTTATTAACATTCACAGAGTTTTCCATCTTTGTATATATACACTGAAATTAGTTTCTAGATGTATATTCACCTAAAAATGCTGATCTTTGTACATTTAGGGGCCCAAGAACAGTTATCTTTCTGCTTCAAAGTGTATAGACACTGAGAGGTGTATATGTATATCTCTGTGTATATGCGCTAGTCAATTGGTGCTAGAATGGCCTACGAAAAGTCGTAAAGTTTTAAATCTAAAAAATATCGATTCTAAGTTAATATTCTAATGAGTACGTTTTTGATAAAATATTTCAAACTTGTTGTTTAAAATGTCATCCCGTCGTTAAAGAATGACAATTAAATTAACTCGTACCAAAAATTCTCGGTGAAATACCATTTATTATTATTATTAATAATAAGTAGTAGTAGTAATAGTGGTAGGAATATAATAATAATAAATAATAATAATAATAATAAATAATAATAATAATAATAATAATAATAATAATAATAATAATAATAATAACAATATTAATTATTATTATTATTATTATTATTATTATTATTATTATTATTATTATTATTATTATTATTATTATTATTATTATTATATTTGTTATATTACTTTTATTGGGTTGAACTATAAGCAGTGAATCTGAAATATATTATGAATCAAGACATATTAAAAGTGTTGTTAGAGACGTGAGTAACCTGATGGATAAACCAATATCTAATGAGGTATTAGTTAAGAGTAGGTATCAACGAATTACATCAGCGTGTTGTGGTCTGCGGTTGAGGTTTCAGACAAAACTTAGGCGAGATTCTTGCATTTAATCCATCGTTAAAAAGATTTCTTGTAGAAGCCCCTCTCTCTCTCTCTCTCTCTCTCTCTCTCTCTCTCTCTCCTCTCTCTCTCTCTCTCTCTCTCTCTCCTCTCTATCTTCTTCTACCACTCTTCTGACTCATCTGTCTCATCTCTCTCTCTCTTTATCTATCTCCTCCTCCTCTCTCTACTCTCTCCTCTCTCTCTCTCTCTCTCTCTCCTCATATATGTCTCAAGCCATCTACTTCTACACGTCCTCATCCTTAGGTCTCCTCTCTCTCATCTTCACTGTTTGGATTTAATAATGCCAAGCTGCTCAGGAAACCATTGTTGTACATTGCCTGTCAATATAGGCTCAACCTTGCTGACATCTCTCCAGCTCACATTTCATCATCTCTTGTATGAGAGCAAATCCTGTGTGATGGAATATAACAGAGATACACAGCTTGTTTTCATTGTAACTGCCACATAAAATAGGGTAGCATCTCACTGGAGATGTACTTAATTTGCATAATGTGAGTAGTCACGAAAGCGCTTGGAATTTCTCTATTCTTTCAGAGTGGTTGTTTTGCATATTCTGAAATCACCTGTTTACCGTGATCTTATTGCATATATATATATATATATATATATATATATATATATATATATATATATATATATATATATATATATATATATATATATATATATA